TTGTCCAGCTGATGGCCATGTCCACGTTACCTCCCGACATCTCAATATAAACATGCCATGGTTCAGGAACTGCTTGTGGCATTCCAAGCTAGTCTCCCCAGCAGTTAGCAGAATCCAACATGGAAGTTTAACCTCTCAGCTTCTTTCAAGGTTTTCAGCCTCTAGATCTCTGAGGTCAAAAGCTATAGATTATTTGCTTTAGTAAGGGAAAATATGGAACGACAGCACAAACTGTAAGGCAGGAGTCCTTGGCTCTCTCTTACAGTGTTCTCTGAGCGAGGAATGCTCACTAAGAGAATTCATGTAAGGTATATTCTCTATGTAATCACAGGTTCATGTGAAACCATGGGAACCAGAGGCGAGAAAAAGATTTTTTTGTCAAGTTACAGGGACTCAGGAATCTAGAGGAGTGAGAGAGACACATAAAGGCTGCTGGTATACAATGTGCTGGCACGAACAGGCTTCATTATAAAGTTGAAGCCTGGATGTATAAGGAAGGTTTCTACATCTAATCTCCCATCTAAATAATTTGTTGTAATCCCTTTTCCATGGATGCATGAAATCTAGTTATTCAATAAATACATGAGCTAATCTCCAAATACCCCAAAATTTCACATAAGAACCTCTTTAATATGACCATGGTCAGTTTTTCTGATCTCATTTTCCGTGTCTCATGTCCTTTCCCCCCTGGTTCTTACAACTCACCTTACATTTGAACAAATGGATAAAACCTCTCCCCCTCCTTACTCTGTGCCCCCAACATGCTGCTATCTCAAACTTCTTAAATACAGAAAATTATTTTTAGAGAGCCTACCAGGCACTATGCTAGGCAATTTGCATGTATCATCTCATTGAAACTTCATAAGAAATGTTAATATTCTTATAAATATTACAAATGAGGAAACTGAGGGTTATGATTTCAGTGACTTATCCAGAGGAGCATTGTCAGTTAGTTGCCCATCTCCTTTTTGCTTTCCCATATCACTTCTCTGGTGCAGGACCTCCCTGTCCTCACCTCCCATGCATGTCTCAACTTGATTTCTGTCCCCATTACCCCATTCAAATGACCTCCTAATTTCCAGATTTAATGGGCTTGGGGGTCCTACTTTATTTGACCTTATTTTACATTTCCACTATAGACTCCTCTTTTTGTTGAAAGTCCCTTTAGGCTTGATTACATGAAACTATTCTCTTCAACTTCTTTGGTCCCATTTCAGTCTCTTTCATTGGCATCTCTTCTTTTACAGGTTCTTTATTTTTTAAATTTAATTTTTATTTTTCTAGAGACAGGACCTCACTCTGTTGCCCAGGCTGGAGTACAATGGCACGATCCTAGCTACAGCAGTGCCTGAAACTCCTGGGCTCAAGGGGTCCTCCCACCTCAGCCTCCCAAGCCACTGGGACTGCAGGCATGCACCACCACTCACAGGTCCTTTATATTTTGCCATTTCCTGGCTTGAATTCTACATTGTCTTGTTCAACATTCTTTCCCTGAGTAAATATCTCCACTCCCATCACTTCAACATATATAACAAACAACTGCAGTCTCCCATCTGTCTCCTGTGTTCCGATTCACACTTCCAGCTTCTTTCTACATATCACCATGCAGAACCACCAAAGGATCTCGAACTCAATATCAGGTGTCTAATCTCTTCTCACCCCTCCCAAGACCTGGATAGTCTTTCCTTAATTAATGATGCCAAAACTTAACCCAATTTCCTTGGAAATAAACTTCATACATGCTTAGTTTTCCTATATATTGTCAATGAACAAGTCCAGCTGATTCTAACCCTATAAGGCTCTCTTTGTAGTTCCACTATCACTGCCTTAGCTCCAAGCTTTGTCATAGGTCTCTCAGACAAATCATTGTGTGTTGTGTGCATTCACCTCTCTTTTAACTCTAATACTATCACTAGGTAAGATAATTCTCACACTTTTATATGAACATCCAAGTCTCTTTCTTTTCTAAATTTTATTTAAGAGAATTTTGATTCAACTGCTCATTCTACATGGCATTTTTACTTGGGCTTTCACTTTTAAATTATTTAGTGATTTTTTTTTCAATATAACATATTTTTATTTAAACATGCCACTTCAAAGAAAGCATTTGGGGCATATATACATTCCACCCACTATTGATATTGACTATGTTCAAGATGATATGTTAACCACTATAAGGAATAAAATGTTTAATAAAAATGAATTTACCATGGGCTTTACCTTTCAAGACTTTACAATCTGTGAGGGGAGATAAGGCATGTACCTAAATAGTTATAATACATGCTAGAATTATAATACTTATGAAAGAGGTACAGAAAAAAGCTGTCAGAACTATATTGAGGGAGAGTTTTCTTTCACTGAGGAAACCGCAGCAGACTTCATGAAGGAGCCAATATCTGAGCAAGGACTTCAAAGATGAGCAGAATGTGAACTTTTTAATATTGATTCTTTGCACACACCTTACATGCGGAAGGCACTGCACTAAATGATAGGGATATAGAAATGAAGAAGAGACAGAACTTGACTTCCAGTTATTTTCAGTCAATGAGAAAAAAAAAAGGTAAAATCAATTATTGCAGCAGAGTGAAAAAGAATTATAGCAGAGATATTTAAAAAAAATAAGCTACAAAACACTACAGACAATCACAAAGAGGAAAGAGAAGCACTAACCCCTCTTCAAAGGAACGTCTCTAAGAAGAGGTGCTACTTGGGCTAAGCTTAGAGTATCAAGCATCCCTGGGCAATTGGGGATGGGCTGGGGGAAGTAAGAAGCACCCTACACAGAGGGACCTTGGGCTCAGGAATGGGAAGGTATGAAGTGTGTACCTTAGGGATAATTCAGGAGAGCTGAGGAGGAGAAGTGTAAGATGTGGATAAAAAAAAGACATCTAAGCTAGGTTTTGGAAAGGTTAAAGGCTATATTAAGAACTGAAGGCATTTTTTTAGGAATAGCTTATAGCTGATTAGCCAATAGTGCTAACTTATAAGCAATTCTATACATCAATTCATTTTCACCAGCTAGACCCGAAATTCACTTACTTGACTGCATTTCTGATTGAAAACTTGATGTTGTTGGCACCAAGTAGCCCAATCATGGAATGTTGACTGCATTAAACTCCCCAAACTGCCATCTTGGGTGGTCTGGTGACTTCTCCTTAGTTGACATATGTGGTGACAGTCATCTTATTTTTCTTTCATGATAACCTACTATTCATCACTCAGATGGATTAATATAGGAAGTGGAAACTAGAACAATGGGTATTCTCAAACATTTCAGGATCTAGTATCCCATTGCTGGTCATAATTTCAGCCACAATTAATAAATTAAATTGAGCTTGGTCTTTTTATTTGGAGTTTTGATAACATGAGCTATAATCTACTCTTAAATAATTTTTTGAGTGAAAGGTTTTAAAGTATGCATTCAGCCTCTAATTTGACTTCTGTATATTTGGCCACACAAAAATAAAAATAAATGGCCAACCCAGGAGAAGAAATATCAGTTGGGGGAAAGAGTAAATACAAAACTGAAAAATTGCTTTAACATTCTTCTTTATTAATATTTGGTATCATCACACCTACCTTTTCTTCACAAAGAAGCCACACAAAATTACCCTCCACTGAAAATAGAAATCCCCATATTTCCAACTTGGTTGCTTCATCATCTTTCCTGATACAAGAAAGAAATATTTAAGCCTATCCCAGCTTGAGAATACCTTTAATTATATGATTATAATATTTTATTCTAATACCTAGCTGAGAATAAACTTCAAGAAGAAATAAATGCTTTAGTCCAGTAGACCTATGTGTGTGTGTGTATGTGGGGGGGGGGCTGTGTGATATTTATCACAGTGAGTCTTCCATTACCAAAAGGCAATATAGGATACTAGATAATTAAAATAATAAAAATACAGCATTAGAGAGTCAATGAAGGCTCCAAAAATAAAGATGAGGTGGCACCAAAAAAAAAAAAAAAAAAAACCTATTCTGTTTTTCATAGCTTAGGACCTATATTAGTAGATTAGTAGCACAAAAAGACCAACACATCAATGAAAATGTTCTTCAAACTACTTTGAGTTGATTGCAAATGCCTGGGCTAGTAGATCCTAAACAGGGCATCTTGGTACCAACTCATGCTCAATGTCAAGAAATTAGAGCTTCTCATCCAATACCTGCTCTCGGCCAGCCCCTGCACTCCTAACATTCTATGATAACTATGCCTTGTGGAAGTCATCTTGTGTCTCCATTATACCCAATATCCCGTCAATAGAAAAATCTTACTATTTCTTTCCTTCAAAATCCCTCCCTATCCATCCCCCATCTTTCCTGCCATCACAGATGTTAGTCTTCTCCTCTTGCACCACAGGCTCTTTCCCTTAAAGCAACCATTCAATCTTGCTGCTACGTTTTGGGGTAAGATATTTTCTCCACTTCACTGAGGTCAGCCCCCAGCCTAGTGCCTACAGGTCTACAGTAGATATTTTCCTTAAGACACACAGGGGAAAATTATTTTACTTACATACTCTTACTTCCTAGTTTATCATTTTTCTCCTCTCTACTAGTTTAAAAGCAATGTGTCTATATCTAATATCCAATTAATGACTTCTCACTAGATTTTTTTTATATCTGCAATAATCTTTCTTGATATACCCAGCTCACCAAGTACTCCCTCTTAACTAAAGAAACTCCCAATATCAACCCTCTCCAAGAATTGTTCAACAGAAAGAGATAATATTTGTCCAAATCTATTCCAGCTAAATGTGCTACATTTTCTCCATAGCCAATTCATAGTATAATTGTTTAATCCTTTTTATCTTATGAATTTATTTTCTATGTTTATACTGTGATGATTTACAATCTTGGGATTTGGGTTTTTTAATATATTTTTCTTTGAGAGTTTTGTATACGTTCAACAGAAAGGCCTTTGCAGACAGCCCAGGACAAAGAGTATATAAATACTTAAATTTTCTTTCTGTTTCTTATGGTAAGAAGACAAAACCTACCTGCCCATGCTTTTGCTGCGGGGCCATCCCACGAGGCATTTCAGGTTGTGACGAGGCCTTGAGTTCAGTCCCCCGTGTTTTGGGACGCACTGCGTCAGAGACCAGACTGGAAGAGATTGCTAGAGACGTGGGCCTAGCAGCAGTGGCACCTGTCCCCACTGTGGGGCCTTGTTCACCTTTTCTGCTTGTAGCTTCATCTTCTCCTTCAGAGTCCACAATAAAGACATATTCAGCTTTGAAGATGTCACCTTGCTGCATTCCTTGAAGTTCGTTTGCTTTCAATTCCCTTTGTTGTGAAATCGTTCCACTGACCCCTGAAGGGTAAGTCAATGTCCCTTGGTCTCTCTCTTGTTGGCTCCCAGCATTCAAGGTCAAGTAGTCATCAGAATTAGACTGTAATACATGTAGAGAGATAAAAGCATTGGCATTTGTTTAATAAATGCTTCTTTTTTTCCGCATGTACACTGAAAAGCATAACATGCTTATAAAGAGTTTTTATAAATGTATTAAATTAGGTTGGCCTAAGAGACATTGGGTTGAAGTTAATGGTTTACTTTTATGAGCCCACCTGTTTGGCCTGGTCTAAGCGCAAACAACCTAAGGCTCAGAATCAACATTAACAAGCAAACCTAATTGTTTTCAAGTAAATCGTGATATGATATTTTTAAGAGGGGAGAGAGAGAGAGAAAGAGAGAACGCGCATGCTTTTCATGAAAACATTCATGAAACAAATGGGAATTGAGCAACAGCTTAATTGATGGTCAAGCAACATATATATCCTTTAACAAGCAGGGGTGGAAGGAAACCCCAATGAAGTTTTCTAAAATAATACAAAATCTTCCTAAAACTCTGAGAGGAAAATTAAAATTGGAACAAAATGCATAAACAGTCAGACAAAACAATTGAAGCTAATTGGTAAGAACTCATGAATAGGACACCAAAAAAGATGTATATATTTTTAGTACAAATTATTTTTTGCTATCTTAGTTTGAATTCTTAATTCTAAATCTTTTTCCATCCAATTTTCTATGAATACATAGAAGATTTACAAGACCAGGGTTACAATAGCTTTATCAAGCTACCAAACTTTTTCTAAAATGATAGCCATGTACACTAAGCTTGTGTTTAAAAGACACTAATTTTCTTGTTTTGGTAACTATACTACAGTTACTATTCTTTTCTCTGGAACTTTTCTCTAAGTTTAAAACTATTTCAAAATAAAACTAATTTCAACTACGGTGGTCAATTTAATGTATCCTAATATGTATGTAAGTGTTGTGTGTGTGAAAATAGAAATCAAATCACTGAGTAATTACAATTAAAGAGTTGGTTTTGTACACCCATCCACACTATTCAGTTGATGATAATGATGATATAATCAGGATAAAATACAAATTGCCTCTGATTAGGATTTCTCTGTCCATCTTTCTCTATTTCTTTACTCTGATGTACTTCTTTTCATACTATTTATCACTACCTGGGATGTTATTACATACTTTTCTTTTTTTTTTCATTGTATGCCTTCCCAATAACAAATAAGTCATCCGAGTTGTCTTTATTCACTTGGAATCCAAGCACCAAGAGCATAGTATATGTTCAGTAAACAGTTAAGTATATAAATGAATGAGGAATTACCCTACACCTATATTGGACTGCTTTAAAAGAGGATGAAAACTCTTTAATCTTTTAAAGATGTAATTGTTTATATATCGTTCATTGCAATCAGCAGATGAACATTACCTTCTTAGGAGGCTCTGGAGGTTTGCAACCAAGATTGGTTGATAGAGTTACATTTTCACGCCACTCAGGGCCTAATTAACAAAGGATCCCACTAATATATTGCATGTAAATGAATGCTGTTAGAGAGAAACTTCCCAGAAATGCCATATATAGTGTGAAGAATTTCTCTTAAGTAATTTGACCCCATTAGTCTTTGAAATAAGATAGCTACTGAAATAAAATAGCAATTGAAAACTCCAAGATCACAGATATATAACTACTTTCTAGATAAGATGTTTTCATATAGACAAGATGAATCTGATTGTTTTACCTCTTTCCAGTTGTCTCAAGAATAACACAAAGTCCCCCAAATCTCATTCTACTTATAATAAAACAATATTAAAACATTTTAAAGAGAAAAATATTTATCCAAAATTTTATTATTGTAACACAAGTCATTTTCAATTTTTTTATTTGCTTAATTGCATTTCAAGTCTTAATCTCATATTAGACAGATATAATCAGGATATGAATATAATCTTATAGCCTATTTTATCACCTAATATTATAAGGTTAACATTTTCCATGGAATTACATAATTACCATAATTATAACTTTTCCAAGGTGATGTATTATCTATTCTTAATTGTCTCTCATTGCTAAGTATTAGTCCGTTTTTATTTTACCCTAATTATTTTCCTACATAACATTTTTCTTCTTTTGTACTATTTCTTTGGGATACATTTCCAATAGATTATTAAAGATTATGAACGGTTTTATGACTATGAGTAAGGGACTTAAACCAAAATTGTACAAATTTACAAAACTAGCAGCAAAGTTTGAGCATGGCAATATTTCCACAAATGCCCCAACTTTGGCTATTACATATTGTAATGTTTCCAATTTATTGCATGCAAATTATAACATCTCACTGTTTTATATATTGTACTTTTTTTCAAGATAAATTGAATCTTTTTAAATTTTGTTTTTATTTCATAAGATACATTTGGGAGAAGGTACCAGGAGGCAGAATTTGTCATGTGAATAGCAAACAATAGGATGTCAACTCAAAAGAGTTGAGAACAATGCATTAGCGAGAATATCGGATTTGATGACATTGAGTCACCTATTGCATGATTGTAATTTTAGTCAACCTTAGATTCACGGTCAAGTCAACCACAGGAAATAGACATTGATACAAATTTCCAAGTCCTTATAGATAATTTAATATAATTGTTTGAAATAAAAAAATAAAATAATCCCACCTTATTTACAGTTTCTGGATTCTTAGCACTTGGTTCTTCTGGAATTTTAACAAGGAATTTAGAGGTGTCAGCCAACTGAGTATGAGTTGGTAGTCTTCTGACAGTGGGCACAAATGTGAAGCTCAAAGGTTTCGCTTCACAATCACCAGAAGAGACCTATGAGATATGTAATAAATTAAACTTTCACTCTTTTGAAAGATTTATCTTTATTCTCTATACACCATGATATTTATCTCATTTATTTTTATAAATTGCCTATTGTCCTGTGACCATATATGTATATGGCTTCAAAGTAAACAGCTATAAAAATAGTCATAAGTGTATCAGAACCTTTCTTTATGGTATCCTTTACCAGAGAAAGCAATGTAAACACAGGTAGATCCTGTTGTGGGGAAAGGAACTAAAACAGCAGGCCAGAAGGCTGACCAGCTGGGATCTTACAGGGTAACTCTACTTCAGTGGGATCATCACAAACTCAGCATCTGTTCTCAGTTTCACAATTGACTTCTATACATTTAACCCTGGGCTAGCAAGCTCAATTTATTGACTCATGATCAATAAGCATGCAAGAAAATTCCAACATTTATCATTAATAAGAATGCCAAAATACGGATTTAAAATTTAATGCCTATCAGAACACCAATGCCTGCTCTTAATGATATACTTTCTCCTTCATTTATTCTTAATTCATTTAAAAATAATTTTATTAAGTATTTTATGTGTGACATGCACTCAGGAGCTAGGGAAACAGTGGTGAATAGAAAACAGCCAATAAACTACCCACAAGTAGAAAAAGGTGATGCACAGAACACTAAGGCAACAGTGATGAGGGGTGCCTACCCAACCTGGGAAGTGTCATAAAAGGCAAAACCTGAAATTTAAATCAAGGCAAAGAGGAGGAAAAGGATATACCAGGCTGAGAAAATGAGATGAGTAAAGGTATGGAAAAACGCAGCAATGGGGAGTATATCAAACTTGGACTTTGTTCTGTTGAAAACCGAGAACCATTAAAGCATTGTTGATTGAGAAATGACACAGTCATATTAGAATTTCAGATAGATAAATCTGGTTTTAAAAGTCACAAGAGTAGAGACAAGGACGAAAAGCCAAACACAATAAATTGAGGACTAAATGGGAGAGGAAAAAGAGAGGATGGTACTGTACACTTCTCTTTCAGGAAGTTTGGATGAGAAGTAAAAGGCAAGGTTGAGAGTTGAATGGAAAGTGGTTTGAATGAGGTGTCTTTGTTGATCTTGAAAAGGAATAAACTTGATTATATCTATGGAGTAGGTGGTGGAGATGGTGGAGAAGGAAAGGGAAGCAAGAACCTGGAGGAAATAGAAGAAATAAGAAAACAAGAGAAGAATAATGGTCTCCTCTGAAACTGGAGAAAATGAAATAGGTTGTTGAAAAGTTGACGAATTTGGTGAAGTGGGAAGAGTGGGAAGGTGATAAGAATCACTTTTGTATAGGTAAAATTGTATGTATTTGTCTTGTACAATATGTTTTGAAATTATATACATTTTGGAATAGTTAAATCTAGCTAATTAACAAATACATAACCTCACACGTTATTTTTGTGGTGAGAACACTTAACATCTACTATCTTTGCATTTTTTAAGAATACAATATATTGTCATTAACTATAGTCACCATACTATATATTGGATTTCCTGAACTTATTCCTTCTAAGTGAAGTTATATATCCTTTGACATCTCCCCCACTCTTCCCTAACCACCCTAGCATGTGGTAACCACCATTTTACCCTCTATGTCTATAAGATCAGCTGTTTTAGATTCCACGTGAGTGAGATCATGCAGCATTTATCTTTCTGTGCCTGACTTGTTTCCCTTAGTATAAGGTTTTCCAAGTTCATCCACATTGTCACAAATGACAGAATTTTCTTCTTTTTATGTCTGAATAATATTCCATTGTGTATATAGATCACATTTTATCTATTCATCATTAATGGGCACTTAGGTTAATTCCATATCTTGGCTACTGTAAATAGTGCTGCAGTAAACATGGTAGTGCAAATATCTCTTTGACATACTGATTTCATTTCCTTTGGCTATATACCCCGTAGTAGGATTGCTGTTTCAACCGATAGTTCTATTTTTAATATTTTGAGAACATCCCTACAGTCCTCTGGCTAGGATTTCCAGTCCCCATGTTGAATAGAAGTGGTAGAGAGTGGGCATCCTTTTCTTTCTCTAGATATTAGAGAAAAAGCTTTCAACTTTTCCCTGCTCAATATGATTTTAGCTGTGGGTCTGTCATATAGGGTATATAGGGACTTTATTATGTTGAGGTACATTCCTTCTACACCTAATTTGTTGACAGCTTTTATTATGAAGACATGTTAAATTTTGTCAAACTTTTTTCTGTGTCTATTGAAATGATCATATGGTAATTGTTTTTTATTCTGTTAATGTGCTATATCAGGCCTATTGATTTGCATCCCTGGAATGAATCCCACTTGATCATAGTGAATGATCTTTTTAATGTGCTGTTCAATTCAGTTTAGTAGTATTTCATTGAAAATCTTGCATCTATGTTCATCAAGGATATTAGCCTGTAGTTTTCTTTTTTTGTCTTGTCTTTGTCTGGTTTTGGCATTATGGTAATGTTAGCATTGTAAAATGAGTTTGGAAGTATTCCCTCCTCTTCAATTTCCTAGAATAGTTTGAGAAGAATTGGTATTACAGAGCATGATATGCTACAGCTAAAAAAATAATAAAAGGAATTGGTCTTAGTTATTCTTTAAATGTTTGGTAAAATTCAGCAGTGAAACCATCAGGTCCTGGGCATTTCTTTGATGACAGACTTTTTGTTACTGATTCAGTTTCCTTACTCATTATCAGTCTGTTCTATTTCCTGTTCTTTATAAAACAATCTTTATCAGTTGTCCAAGAATTTATCCATTTTTTTCTAGCTTATCTGACTTGTTGGTATATAATTGTCTATACTAGTCCTTTATGATCTTTTGTATTTCTGTGGTATAAGTTGTGATGTCTCCTTTTTTATTTATTTGAATCTTCTCTCATTTTTCTGTCTAACTAAATGTTTGTTGATTTTGTTTATCTTTTCAAATACCAACTCCTTATTTCATTGATCAATCCCTTTTGATATAATTAATGTTCATGATGAAATTGTTCCCATCTAGTGACAATAACACTGCCCCTTTGCTTCCCCCATGCTTGTGTCAGAAGAAATATGATGTACCCTGGCAAGACCCCCAGTGCCTCTCACTGTGCCACCTTTCTAGACTTTGGACCCCTCAGACCTAATTCATGACCTTATGGATCAAAACCCAGTTCATGTCAGCACCCATGATAAACCCAAGGTTCTGAGTCATCTCTCAATCCCTGAGCAAAGCACAGCCCTAGTTTTGTTCCCATCTTGCTCCCTGCTCCAACTCTTGAAATCTTTTCACTGTACACTTTCTGGAATTCAGTCAGCCATTATAAGTCTTCTGTATCCTTATCTTCTTCTTTAAATATTTCCTTCACCTTTCTAACTAAAGCATGGTTTCACTTAAGGACTCTGTTTCCCAAGAAGCTCTTCAGTGGTAGCTGTTTTCTCTCACACTCTTGCACCACTGGGCCTGGAAGTAGGATAGGTGTTTCTTGCTCTTCTTTACTGTTTCCAAACTAGGCTTTCTTACCCAAAATTCTTCCAGCTTTGAATCTCATGTCATCAGTCTAGACCATTCACCACCTCTCCTGGTTGTAGCCATCTGCCCACACTCAGATTGAATACTCCTTTCCTTAAAGATTTAGCTCTTGGATTGATAGCACTCTTTCTAACACTATACTTTTAATATACCCAATATTATATCCCAATGGTCAATTTTTCTAATATTATATTTCCCTGATCTCTGCTCTTCCTTCCTCTCACATCTCTAGCCTAGATCAATAGCTGCAAACCCTCCATAATTTAAGTTTTTTCATTCTCTGGCCACTATTTTCTGTCTCTCCATTCCACTCCCTCCAGTATTCCAACTCCAACAAGATTAAAATCTACTGATTCTTCCAACATTATGTTTTCCCACATTTGTCTTCTTAACCAGCCTCAAAAATAAAGTTTCCCATAATTACTCCCTTGGGTACCCCTCAAATGCCTTGCCCTCCCTTCCATCATCATCCCTACTTGGGTGAATTACAGTCCTCACTAAATCTAAACCCTACTTGCTCTACTCCTGCACCATGGAGGTAAACAGGCTCTGGGAAATCACACAACCAATGTTTATTTGTCTCACTTCAAATTTATATCTCTGAGCCTCAGGAAGGCTCTTCCCTGCTGCCCCACAACTATAGTATACTGCCATAGCCCATCCCCTCTCCCACTGGCCCAGAAAACTCTTTGATATCTTTTCCACTTTCTTCAAACCCCTGACATCTCTTCTCCATTCTCAGTCTGTGCTGGATGACTTTGTTTCCCATTTCACTGAGACAACTGAAGTAATCCAAAGAGAACTTCCAAGGTCCCCAATACCACATCTACGCAGCCACCTGCATCTCTTTTCTTTTCCATGACCTTCAGTTCTGCTGCTATGTTCCCACTAAAAACAACCCTCACTTAAACACTTTGCCTTCTATTTACTTTCTTGTTTTATTTTTTTTTATTTTTAATCATTATGGGTACATAATACTTGCATATATTTATAGGGTACATGTGATGTTTTGATACAGGCATACAATGTGAATTAATCAAATCATCCATCAGCTCAAGCATTTATCTTTCTTCATTTTAGGAACATTCCAATTCCACTCTGTTATACTTACTTTCATTTATTCAACAAGGTCTTATTAAATGCCAACTAAATTCTAGATGCTATTCCAGGGGTTGGTGCTATAACAGTGAACAAAATTCCTTATTACCATGAACTTTACATTCTAGTGGAGGAAGACAGACAATAAATAAATAAATACACAAAACATATAGTACTATCTCCATAAGTGCTATGAAGATTTGCTATAAGGCTACTGAAATAACTCATGGTGGAGAAGATGGTGGGTTGAACTTGGGTTACTGCAGTGAGAGTGGAAAGAAGTGTTAAGATTCTGGCTATATTTTAAAATAAAAACTTATAATTTGCTGGCAAATTGGAGGTGGAGCCTGAGAGACAGGTAAGAGTCAAGATGAGTACAAAAGTTTGGCTTGGATAACTACATGAAGTGAGAAATTACTCATTGAAATGGGGAAGACAACAGTTGACTTCGTTTGATGATAAAAATCAAATTTGATATGCCCAATATATATCCAAGTGGAAATGTGGGTACGTAAGTCAAGTTTAGAAAAAATTCTGTGCTAGAAAAAACTGCTAGGGTTATTAACCTATAGATGGTATTTAAAACCAGGAAATTAGATGAGATCACTAACGGAGTAAACACAAATAGAAAAAGAAGAGGTTCAAGGATGAACCCTACAGATTCTTAACACTGAGTGATGTAGCCACTGAGGAAAAGTCTAGTGGCCTGGAAATTTTAAGGAAGGTAAAAAAGACTGAAACGTCACAGACAGAATGGGAAAGAGACCTGACCAGAAATAAAAGTATTGACAGGGTATACTGATGGCCCAACCCAAATGCAAGTCCATGAATTTGTAGTAAGGAGATTTGCTTGGCTGTTTGATAGTCTCTCAAGGGATGCTGACCTGCCTATTCCAGGAAAAGAGAAAGTCAACTATGACACTTAAAGTTAATGTTTGGAGGTGGTTTTGGCAGAGGATATTGCAAGTATAAGGAAATTGAGGGTACTGGTGAAAGTAGAGCAAATGATCAACCATGGAATTCAGTTTGGATAGATAAGGAGGAAGGGCCTTCCAGTTCAAGGAACTAGATAGAAGTCTCCGTGGTTCACAAAACAGACTGGATACAATGGTGACTGAGAGAATGGCTTGGACTCATATGATATGAGAGTTTAATAATCAGAAATATGGTAATTCTAGATGTTTATTAAGTCTCTGCTTTGGCCTTGAGACATTGAATATCTGAGAGAAAGATCTTGTAAAGGTCAAGGAACTACGAGAAAAGAATGTGGACAGGGCCATCCCTATGAAAAGGAGAGCCATTCTGAGTGGTGGCAAGATTGGGTTGGAGAGAGAGAGACTGATAACATGTTGGTACAATCTTAAATAAATGTGAAGCTGGGGTTAGGAGGGTCCCCGGAGGAGGCTATGTGGGACATTAGATTATTAACTAGAGATTTTCTTTGTAAGCATGAAACCAAACCAAGTTAGTGGGATATCCTTGTAGGATTTCACCCCCAAGTTCTAGAAGGGCCTAATGAACTCACTCCAGGCAACTTACTACAGGGTATAACATTCTGGTAACTTAAACCCCTACGCCTTGTAGAATCAATGCATATGCCTCCAGGAGATGAAACATACGGACAAACCCTTCCGAGCCAACTTTTATTTTTCAATGTTCTTTTTTGCCTTTAAAGGTATTTGTCATTATTTCCTCATTATAGTCATGTCACAATTCCTAGGTGGCTGCTTATCATCAGAAAATAATAAATCACTGCTTTCCTTTATAGGAAGGAACATTAGATCCCTTGTGAGATTTGGGGCACCCACTTGTCTGATTAGCAATACATAATACAACAGACTTTCTAAATGTGTTGTTTTCTAGGACAGTTTCTTTACATGGCTAATCTCACCAATATCATGATGGAATGGGGAGCAGTTGTGGCAAAGGGTACTGTACTGAGGGTATTTCAAATAATCTGTCCTAGAATGTAATTTTGAGTAAGAAATAAAGACAATCCTTTAGGAGTCAAGGAAGAAGAGTTGCAACGTGACCTGACCCCAGGTTCTGTAGGTAGGCCTTCCTTTATCTACCCACAGGATAACTATAGATCTATCTTTGGTTCTATTCAAATGAAATTTCAATACTGATGTATGAAAGGCTTCAGGGCAAGCACCTCATGGTTACAAAAGACATACAACCATTATAAATAGCAAGTAGTTTTACATTCTAAAGCATGCACAATAATGAAAATTTACTTCTCCAAATACCTCGCACAATTTATGTAATTCAATGCTACTGAAGTGTCTAAAATACAAATAGAGTTCCACAATTGATGCATCACAAACAACAGGCTTTTTAAAAGGTTGATAGCTTAAATTTTTAGTGAATAAAGCGGAAACAAAGTCTGAATGAAAACTGATGCTTTGGTCAATAGGTGTGCTTTTATAACACCCTCAAAAAAATTTCTAAACATAATCATATGCTGACAATAAAGACAACTGAAAAGAAGTAAAACTATTTCCTTCTAATTTACAATATATTTTCCTCCAGACACATGATATCCTATATAAAATTTTTTCATCAGTGTAGGAAAACAATTTTTTGTTTTAGTCGAACCAATACATGATGTCATTCCAGAAAACATGAAAACAGGAAATCTAATAGCGCTAAGGACTTATTCATCTTCGTGGGTTACTGGTGGAGAATAACAAGATCAAGGATGAATTCCTGCCCAAACACCTATCTTCCAAAGAACAATCGCAAAAAGGGCGATTGTTTGGTATTCGCTTTTAAGCTATCAGTACAATGTTAGCATGGGGCTCTTTTCACCGCCTCTCCCTAGCATTCTCTCGCCTTAGCAAGGATCTAATATTTATTTGCAAAGAATTTCAGTTAGAAAAGAATTTGTAATTACATTGATCATGATGTGCAACATTCAGATGAAGAGCCACATGTTGGCTAGTAGACTATTAAATCCCTTGTTTAGGGAAAGAAAAATATATATTTGCTGTTTACTGCATGCTATGGCCAAGGTCCAATGGAGGAGCCCCAAAAAGAATTGCTATGGTGATGAAAAATCATTTTCCACACAAAGCAGCAACAGATGCATGTTAATAGCGTTGCACTTGTTAATTGCCAATTAACACTTTCAGTTGTCAATGCCATTTAAACATCTGAGTTCCTATCCTTGGGAAATTATTTTAATAATACAGATACAAGCTAAAAAAAATCAAAATCTTTTCCTAAATACACTTTAAAAAGCTCAAAATCTCTAAAACTGTCACCTTTCACCGGACAGCCTAATAATTTGAGAGATTGTTTTCCCCCACGCTATGCAGGCTGTTTCTTTGCTTAGTTTCGGGCTGCAATGTCTTCCTTTTCTACGTTTCCCTAAAAGTTCTCTCCCTTCAGATGTTGACACCCACACACACAGATGGCCACTAGCCTCCTCTTAAGGCATTACAGGGCATATTAGCATTAACACTATGCCAAGGGCAATCCTAAGCATTTTCTTTGCCCAATGAGCAGTTTTGTCTTTATCAGCTCTAACCGTAGATAACATTTCACTTCCATATACAGAAAAATGTATCTGCACCCGGGTAGCTCTCCCTCATACCCTTGCAGCAAACACCACCAGCACAGTGCATTGCTTTTAAAAGTTACTGAAAGCATTAAGCAAAGACTTTCTTTTACCTGGGGTATGGTCTGAATGCTCCCTGCTAAGATGCACGAGTTCATTTGGAAGTAATTGTTCCCGCAGTCACTCAGAAGCCCCTGTTCTGAAAGCATTGATTCATCACATAAGGGAGTGAGCAAACCAATGACTGAGGTGGGAAGGAGCCTCTTACTAAAACAACACACACACACATTCACACAGAAAAAAAAAAAAAATGAATTCTAAAAAGAGGTAAAGCAGAATCTTTCCTGAATTGAAGAATTTTGTCAGCTCCAAAGAATAGATTTATGTTCCAACAATTTTTAGATCTGGAACTTCATGAGAGGTCACAGTGACTGCTGAAATGTAATCAGTAAAAGTAAAAAATTACCACCTATGTGTGTTTGCCCTCTTTTCTTTTCATGCATGCATTCCAATTATATATTCTGTGAAAGGAAGAGAGAAGCCAGATTGTGCAGCAAGGGAAGCTGATTGAAGGGCCCAAGCATCTGCCAATCTCAATGATCAGCTGGTCACACTCACAGAGAACATTTTGAAAGATAAATACATGCAAACACTGTGTCTAAATAAAAAAACTAGAAAACACACAGTGATCATTTCAGAAAATCAATAATTTTATCACTTCCTGGTGTATAAATTGCAGGCAATGATACAGGAGCATCTGTAGTGACTGAAATTTTGCTATTAACAAAATTAGCTCTAAAATAAAGCTTGGAATCAAATAGCTGTCAAAACAAACTCCCATTCCAAGATTCCTGGAAGACAGAGTGAGTATCCTGACTGCAGATAGACAAACCTCAAAACTTCACACACGAAATTGATTGGCATCTTCAGCTTTTAGTATTTCTATTTTCTAAGTATTGATTTTTCTCCAAATCTTTAATAGCTATATTGGTACCTTAGCAGTGAAAGATGTTATATCCAAAAGGCTAGATATAGACCAAAAACTAAGGGAAGACTGAATTTTATTTTAGGAACCTAGATTATGCCTCTTAACATTTTCAATGTTATCAGAAGCCTGAATTTGTACAATCTTATGGCTAAAATAATTGTTAAAAGTGAGTTTATCAGCACAGGGGGAAAACTATTCTAAACAACATAGTACATTTTGATATAGAATATCATCTAAATTTTTTAATGTAAGTGTTGTGTTATGTCACTGAACAAACTGTGTGCCTTCATCTACGTTATACATACTTATAGGTATCCAAAAGAGAATATAATACCCTTCTGCCTTGAAAAAGTTTACAGTACAATCGAGAATATAAAGCAGGAATATAATGTCCATACTACCCAAAGAAATTTACAGATTCAATGCAATCCCTATCGAAATATCAACATCACTTTTCACAAACCTAGAAAAAATAATTCTACACTTCATTTCGAACCAGAAAAAAACCCAAATAGCCAAAGCAACCTTAAGCAAAAGGAATAAATCTGAAGACATCACTTTACCAGACTTTAAGCTATACTATAAGGCTCTAGCAACCAAAACAGCATGGAACTGGCACAAAAATACAGACAGAACAAATGCATCAAAACAGAGAACCCAGATATAAAACCATCTATATATTGCTATCTGGTCTTTGGCAAAGTAGACAGCAGTATACACTGGGGAAAAGGATCCCTATTCAATAAATGGTGCTGGGGAAATTGGATAGCCACATGTAGAAGAATGAAACAGGATCCATATCTCTCATCACTCACAAACATTAATTCAAGATGGATCACAGACTTAAATCTAAGACATGAAACCGTAAGAATTCTAAAAAAAAAAATGGTGGAAAAACTCTTCTAGATATCAACCTGGACAAAGAATTTATGAAGAAGACTCCAAGAGCAATCACAACCACAACAAAAATAAATAAATGGGACTTGATTAAATTAAAAATCTTCTGCACAGCTGAGGAAACAGTCAACAGAGAAAATAGGCAACCTACAGAATGGGAGAAAATATCCGTTAGCTATGCATCCAATAAATGGCTAATAACCAAAGTTCTAAAAGAACTCAAACATGCCAGCAAGAAAAAATCTAATGACCCCATTTGAAAGTGGGCAAAAGATATGAATAGAAGCTTTTCAAAAGAAGATAGATAAATGATCAACAAACACATGAAAAATGCTCAACGTCACTAATCATCAGAGAAATGCAAATCAAAACCACAATGAAATATCACCTAACTCCAGTGAGAATGGTGTTTATCAAAAAGTCCCAAAATAATAGATGCTGGCATGAATGCAAAGAGATAGAAACACTTATACACTGTTGGTAGGACTGCAAACTAGTACAACCTCTATGGAAAATAGTATGGAGATTCCTCAAAGAACTAAAAGTAGACCTAACATTTGATCCAGCAATCCCACTACTGGGAATTTACCCAAAGAAAAAAAGTTATTTTGTCAAAAAGACACCTGCACTAGAATATTTATTGCAGCACAATTCACAATCACAAAAATGTGGAATCAACCCAAGTACCCATCAATTCATGAGCAGATTTAAAAAATGTGGTATATGTATACCGTGGCATACTACTCAGACATAAAAAACGTATTGATATCTTTTGCAACAATCTGAGTGGAACTAGAGACCATTCTCCTAAGTGAAATATCTAAAGAATTAAAAAAACAAATACCATATGTACTCTCTAGTAAATTGGAGCTAACCTATCAGCACTCATGTGCACAGATGGAAATAAAACTCAATGGAAATCATGCAGGAGGGAGGGTGGGGAGGAGGGGATGGATGAAATCATATTTAATGGGTACAATGTACATTATCTGAGTGATGGGCACACTTATAACTTTGACTCAAGCAATACAAAAGCAATCCATATAACCAACACATTTGTACCCCCATAATATTCTGAAATTTTTAAAAAAATTAAAAAAATAAAGCAGGTATACAAACAGCAGAGATGCAAAGTGAAAAAAGAAAAAGTCCCATATTGCAGCTTTTCTCAAACATTACTGCATATATATAAATTTTTGAGGATCTTGTTAAAATGTAGCTTCTAGTTGAGATCTATATCCCATAAATACATCCTACTATTATGTACCCATAAAAATTAAAATTAAAATAAAACACTTAGAGGAATTTCAGAAGGTAATGACATCACAGTCACCTGGAGTGGAATAATTCAAAAAGATGTCATTTGGGCTGCACTTATAAGGATGGGGGAGTGGGAGCCTGTGAATATAGGATGGAACAGCACTTACTCCAATCAGAGAGTGCAGACACCTATCAGAACAGCAAGAGCAGTAAGTAGCAGGAATAGTCATAAAGCACATCTGAACACTAGGATCAGATAGATCATCTGCTGGCTGTGGGACCTTGCACAAGTTACTGAACCTCTGTCCTCTCACCTGTGAAATGTGGATAAGAACAGTACTTATTTCATACGGTTCTTGGGATGGTTACAATTAAATTCAGCCTATAAAGCCCTTTGCTCCATGACAGGCAAATACTTAATATATGTGTTACTCCTGTTCATACTCTTGCTTTTCAGTTTTATAAACAACATAATTAAGAAAAAAGGCAAATAAGACAAGAAAAGCAGATAAAATCTAGATCATCAAAGATCTTGAAATAGGACCTCAAGGCACAATGGTAGCATGTCAGACTCCAGATCTTGAATTAAGAGGTTTTAACTTTATCTAGTGATGAACAGGAATGGAGATATTCATATATATGTATCAAGACATCAATAGTATCAATAAATCTTATGGACCACTTCTATCTCAAAGTTCTAGCTTGGCTTTCTGAGGGGAAGTGACAGTCCAGTCCTTTGTCAATGGTCAATTAGTTTATTCTAAGTGAATTTAAATAGCTATGAAGTTCTTCTCCTCTAACTCATTCTGTCCTTTACCCTCTGGTCTTTTCTTTCTCTCATTCCCTCCTGAAAACACAAAGCAATATTTAGACCAGTTGGCACAATCAAATTTGGAAGAGGAAATCATTCAAACCTTACCCTTTGCCCTGCTCAAATTCTCCCTTGAATATTTTTACAACATGAGAACCAATTAGATTAATCCATTAATTTTATATTCTGCTATTTTTCTCAGTGTCTCATTGGCAACTTTTCTGTAATCATTTTCTTTCCCCTGTTTTATTAGCTAATAATTGTTGCTGTTATAGACTATTTCTTATAATGATAGAAGTCATAATCTTAAAATAAAAACACATTATGGTCACGCGTTGTAACAGCAGGCTTCAGCCATCTGGTTAATAACTATGCTCAGCCTCAAAGAGCACATGTATTGAGGATAATTTCTATAGAAACCATTCTATATTTAAATTAAACGTGATGGCACCTGGTCAAAAAACAAGTCTTAGTCTTGAATGACAAAAGAGCATGTAAATTACTTGCAATCCGGAGGAGAGAAGAGTCTATCCTCCAATCATAACCACTTTTCCTATGAACAAGAAGAGTCACCTAGCGTCTGCCCAAGACCCTTAAGCATTTTATAAACACAAACTTTTAATGATCTCTCTCCCACTAAGGAACATAAACTGCTTTGTTGAATAATCATTTTTCAAAAGAAAATAAAGTTTGTCAAAGTTTGCAACAGATGAATACAATGCAAAACTCTCTAAAATCTGGCATTATCAATGGCTAAAGCAGATATCCTTTGCCCTTACTACTAACCAGACAGTATTGTAATGCCTTGGAGCCAAAAGATTCTTAAGATAATGCTTTTAAAATAAATAATAGAAAACAAATAGCCTTTCTCCTTGACATGGGAAGCAAATTTGAGGAAAAAAATGGATTAGTCCACAAAAGTTTGCCAAGAAACATGCAAGTGATTAAGTAGATCCAGTTGCCAAGGCTATTCAGACATCCATTTGTCTGTTTTAATGCCTTTGTGCTTGATAACAGAAGGTACGAGGAGTCTCATTTATTTACCTTAATAAAAGTCTGTTGGGTGTCAGGCATGATTCTAAGCTCTGAAGACATAAAGATAAAAGCTTGGAACCTGTTCTTCACATGGCTTATATGCTCATTAAGAAGACACCTTCACAAGTGACACCAGCAGGGAATGAAGTTACAGGAGAGTGAAAAGTGATATGCAGAAAGCAGGCTGCATGGGGAATGGGACTCAGGCTGTCCCCAGGGAGATGTCACATCTTAACTGCTTCATTCTCAGGTCCTGTTTCTGGTGACCAACATGGGGGCACTTATTCTGGTTCAGCCTTGGCTGGTGCTTTTCCTCTGAAGATAGGAATCACCAGGAATTGGGATTGGAGTTGGGAGTTGGAATGATCTCAAGGGCCCCAACCAGGACTAGCCTACTTCACAGACTCAGAATTGGGTGTACAGTATTTAAAGTGAATCCTGACATCTCACCAAAGGTGCATGAGATTCCATCATAGTCTAAGTTTAGATTCCTCTGGATTGGCCTCATCTGGATGGCTTCTACTTCTGTTATTACTGCTTAGAGATTATCTTCTATTTGGGGTATATCCTCCTAGTTAAAAAAGATATTAATAGTCCTCCTAGTTAAAGTAAACCGGGAGCTTCCAAATATTGAAGAAAATCTAACACCTAAGTTAGACTGTTTGACCTAATTAAATATTCTGAAGAAATGAAAAGCCCTGTACATTGTAGAATTTGAAAGAGGAACACAGACAACAATGAGAAATATTTATCCATCAGGAATAAGTACATGTGGTTCACTCTCTCTTTGTTGAGTCAGTTCCTCAGCTTGGCCTCTGGCACACCACTTCCTCTTGGTTCTCTTCCTATCCCCTTCTCTGTCTCCTTTGTGCCATCTAAACCTTCAGCTTTGAAGTAGCCCAAAAGTCACTCTTTGGGTGATCACATCCAGTTCCTTAGCATCAAATAGTGTTTATAAGCCAATGACTTCCAAAGCTATTTCCCCAGCCTGGATGGCCTTCCTGGATGGCTTCACTCATACAAATGACATATGCATTTGGATATCTCTTAGATATCTGAGAACCAATGAATACATCTGAAGCTGAATTAATTGCATTTCTAATGAAATTGTTCCCCCACCCCATCCCCCAAATTTCCCCCACCTCTGCATATAGTTTCTCCTTATTCCTAGTTGCTTAGGCTGAAAACCATGGGTTGATACTGATTTTTCTTGGTGTCTCATAGTCCTGCATCAATATATTAGTATATACCGTTGGCTCTCCCTTCAAAATAAATCCAGAAAGTGAATATATTTCACTACTTCTACTACTAACATCCTAGTAGCAGAATCTACCATCATCTCCTTGCTGAATCATTGCTTCCTAACTCTTCTCCCTGCTTCCACTTTGCCTCCGGAGTGGATGCTCTGATAAACCATCTGTATCCCCTTTGGGCTGAGGACTCACCCCCCAGCTGCTAGGAGTGCTGGAACTGTGCTCAGCTTCTGGAGAGTCAGTCCTCTCCAGAAGCT